AAAAAAAGTCCACTTTTTAAGAAAACAAAACACCCATTATACCAGGCTGGCTGCGGTCCTGAAAAATCAATGTTTAAATGTTGAATAATCATACACAAATACTAATATAAAAATATATAATACTGTATACAACTTAAGAAAAACATTATTAAACCTCCAGTGAAATTGTAATTGTTTTTCAAATAAAGCTGTTCAACAGAGCAAGGAAATGTTTCACAGTATTTCCTATTAAATGTTTTTTTTTTTTTTGGTTTGTTTGTTTGTTTATCTGGAGAAGGTCTTATTTTTTTTAATTCAGCTGGAATAAAAGCAATTTTAAGGTCAATATTAATACATTATTTCCAATTAGCTACAGAACAAACCAATGATGTCCAATAATTTGCCTAATTAACCTAACTTTAACCTAATTAACATAGTAAAGCCTACATATTGCACTTTAACTCTTAAAGGGCACCTATTTTACCTCTTTTTCAAGATTTAAGAAAAGTATTTTGTGTGTCCAGAAAGTGTCTGTAAAGTTTCAGCTCAAAACACCGATCAGATAATTTATTATAGTTTTCAGAATATTGGGATTTTCTGCTCTGAACACACCGTAGCTGTTTTTTTTTTGTCTGTGCCTTTAATGCTAGTTCTCTAATTCTAGTTCTCTTTGATATTATTCTACATGTTACTACAAAGACATGATATTTTGGAGCTGTCAATCAAATTGTTGGGCCGGGAAAACTGCACTCCTACGTCACGTTGCAGTGGGTCTCAAAATGGAAGGGATTTGGATCCTATTTTAACATCAGGAAATTAAAAAAAAAATTACTTCTTGTGTTTCTATCATTCCAATATGACTGTGGACATAGTGACATATCGTATACCTACACACAGTTCCGTTCAAAAAGCTTATTTTTATCATAGGTACCCTTTCATTCTAGAAAAATCAAATATTTTAAACTGTCGTAACAAAAACAAATTAAATTAGTAATTAATCATTTTTTTTAAACTATTACATAAAAACTCCCTAAAACTTCCTTAAAAAAAAAAAATTCACAGGAGGTCTAACAAGTTTTTCCTTCAACTGTATATAATGCAACATCCAGCAGGTTTGCACAGAAAAGGTGATGGTCAAGAGCTTGGAACGGAAGTCTATGTTTCTGAAATAGCCTGCCACCAGGGAGAGGCAATGAAACCAGTGAGAGAGAGAGAGATTGTGTGTGTGTCTGAACAGATGTCCTTAATGTCTGACACTCCAGAACCCTGCAGACACCTTGGCTTGAGCACACAATGGCATTCACAAACACACAAGCACTGTACATTGCTATATACAGTAGAGCTCTTCCCAAATAGACAGCTTCATATTTACTCTGGTGTACATGCAGGGCTGCGATTACATGCAAGTCCAAGTCAATCTTTCTCACAGTTCAGCGCACTGATAGTTGAGGACATGCACACTGCCTCACAGTCACATGCAGTTCTAGAGGGAGGCCCGGACAGCACACTGCATGCTATGCATTCAAATTTAATATGACATAATCACACAAAACTACACTGATAATGCTTTTGCGCTATCAAATTATTTAAAATGCAAATCAAAGTCTCAATGGAAAAGCTAACAGTTTGTTAATTATACATACTCTAAAGTGTAAAATAAATAATAATAACAACATAAGACAATGCAAGTAATGCTTTGCACTATCTAATTATTAAATCCAATAATTTTCCTTCGGCTTAGTCCCTTATTTATCAAGGGTTGCCACAACAGAATGAACCGCCAACTATTCCGGCCAACTAAAGGGAGGTCTGAATAGCACACTGCATGCTATGCATAACCACACAAAACTACACTGATAATGATTTTCACTATCCAATTATTTAAAAGGCAAGCCAAAGTCTCAATGAAAACGTCAAAAGTTCGTTAAATATTCATTGATAATACTGTTTAATCTGCAAAAAGAAAGAAATAAGAAAAAAAATCAGATAAATAATGAGAAAATTAAATACTCTGGGAAAGTCTCAGCAGTTAATTTTATTTGGTAATGCAAGGAGTTTGTGTAAGTGATCAAATACCAAGATTCCTCACTACATGCAATACATTTTTTGTATTTGGAGCTTATAAACTCTTTATTTTTTAAATTGAAGATACTTAAGTTTAATGATTTGGTTCAACTTAAAACAGTTTATGTTTAAAACCTGGAATAAATTACTTACAAAATGCATACAATATTTTAGGAAGGAAGACAAAATCTTAGCAAGTTGAAAACAAGGACAACTTTAACGAAACTGTGTTTGTCTGTATTATGGAACAGTCTGGAAGATTCTCAAAACAATATCAGGATATTAATCAATTTAAAAAGCTGCATAAATATATATTATTAAAGGAATAAAGTGATTACCAGAGTTGATTGTAAAAATATGGAAATTGTATAAAATAATGTTATAAATATATTATTAAAGAATTATGTTGATAAATAGAGGTGATTGAAACAAAAAAAACTAAATGAGAAAGGTATGATGAAATTTTAGTTAATGGATGTCTCATGTAAAGCTCAAGTATGTCTCATGTAAACAGAAGAGATAAGTAAAAGAAGAAATAAGTTGAAGTAATAGACAAAATATGTGGTAATGGGGTGGGTGAAATAATAAGATTGCGCTTCATCCCGCTCTATTTTAGCCATAATAATATGTTGTTTTTTTTATGATTATTTTGTGCATGTTTTTTTGTTCAAAATAAATAATTTAAATCTAATGAAATCATTAACATTTAATATGACAATCGCACATAACAAAGCTGATAATACTTTGCCCTATCAAAATATTCTATAAAAAAAGTCAACATTTCGGTAAGTATACATTGATAATACACAAAGATGCAAAAAAAATATAATCATTGAGAAATAATGAAAAAATGTAATTCTTTGGGAAATTCTCGGCTGTTATTTTTATTTATAAATGCAGGGTAACATGGTTTATGCATGAAAGTGATAAAAAAATTATTCAGTACATGCTATGCATTAAAATTTAATATGACATAACACTGATAATGTTTTCTATGTTGATAATGTATCTAATTATTTAAAAGCCAAATCAAAGTCTGAATAAAAAGTCAACATTACGTTAATTATACATTGACAATACTCTAAGCTGTAAAAAATAAATAATGAGAAAATTAAATTCTCTGGGAATCCAGTTGGATGTTAATTTTACATAGAAATGCAAGGTTTCTTGGTTGTGCATCTAAGTGATCAAACACCAAGACTCCTGCTTAAAACATTTTTTTTCACTACATGCAATGCATTAAACTTTAATATGACATCACCACACATAATGCTGATAATGCTTTGAACTATCAAATTATTCAAAAGGGACAAGTCAACAAGAAAAGGTCAACATTTCGTTATTGAATCACTGATATACTCTAAGCTGCAAAAAAAAAAAGGATAAAAATTAGAGTAATAATGAGAAACTTTAAATCTCTGGGAATCCAGTTGGATGTTAATTTTATTTAGAAATGCAAGGTTACAAGGTTTAAGTGATCAAATAACAAAATTCAAATTGAATATGGCATAAGCACACACAACAACGCTGATAATGCTTTGCACTATCAAATTATTCAAAAGGCAAATCAAAGTCTCAACTAAAAAAAACTACATTTCAAGTCAAGAGGAACAAATAATACTCTTTAAGCTGATAAAAAAGAAATGAAAAAAAAGATAAATAATGAGAAAATTCTCTGGAAATCCACACAGATGTTAATTGTATTTAAAATTGCAAGATTACATGTTTTATCCATGTAAGTGATCAAATATCAGGACAAAAAAATTCACAGCATGCCATGCATTAAAATTTAATGCAATATAATCATACAAAAAAACGCTAATAATGATTTGCACTATCAAATTATTCAATAGGCAAATCAAAATCTCAATAAAAAAAGTCAACATTTCGTATATTATACACTGATATTCTCTAAGCTGCAAAAAAAATAATAAATAAATAATGAAACGGATGATGAGAAAATAAAAGTGCCTTGGAAATTCACAGCTGTTAATTTTATTTTTAAATGCAAGGTTACGTGGTTTATGTATGTAAGTGATCAAATACCAAGACTCCATGCTAAAAAATTCTTGTGGTATAAATATTTGAACCTGCATGGTAGAAAATGCATAATCATAAGCCTATGTTTGTCAGATGTGGTGAAAATTAAAGTTTCAATTTAAACTGCTCAAATTAGTGACACTACAGTCAGTTCTCACACACTCAAAAAGTGTGTTTGAGTAAAGTTAATAAGCGACAATTTATATTTTGCTAATATATATATATATATATATATATATATATATATATATATATATATATATATATATATATATATATATATATACAGAGAAACGTGGAATTATTAAATGATTTTTGTTTTTGTTGTCTACAGTTGTATACACAGACAAGTACAATGTCACAACGAATTTTAAAAGTGCCAAAACAAACTGCTTACTGTACATCTAACATGCATGTTTTTATAATTCCATGTGTTCATATATAGATGTGTATGCTTTATTTTTGTCACAGCTGCATGTATATATACACATACATAAGCAAAGAGTCAAATTAAACTGCATATGTCACGTGCAGGTGTTTCTATAATTTCAAGCTGTACAGTATGTGTGTGTATGCCTATAAACACTGCCTATATCTAAATGCATGCGTTTATAGGTGTTCATATATAATATTCATTCACAGGTAGGCTATACACACACGCGTACTACTGCTGTTTAAATGATGTCAAATAGGATACATGATCTGCATGCACGCGCATATGGCATATCTATATTTCATATAATACAGCAGGGCATATAAAGGAACATATACATCACCATTCATGTTCAAACACTGATATTGTTTTGTTGGTAAAGTGATCTATGTTAGGATGCGTTACTCCGCTGAGGAGACAGAGGGGTGGAGTGGCGCGAAAGAGAGAGAGAGAGAGAGAGAGCATCTATGAGTGACAGGAGAGAGAGAGAGAGCGAGAGAGACTGAGCGCGCGCCACGGTCACAGCGAGCCTGACTGACTGAAGACCGACACGGTTAAAAATCACAGACAACGACACTGAAGTCACAGAAAAAAACGCGATCGTAAAAAGAAGAAAATAAGCCATTCTCTGAATTTACACGAAGGAAAGATGCCGTTTACCCGGACGGAGGTATGTTGTAAACACTTCTTCATATTTAAGCTACTTGTTACCAACGGTCAGTCTGAGGTAACGTACATTTATTTTCCGCTCTGCTGAACTCTGAAATCAGCTGAAATTACGTATAAAAATGTGTTTTCTACGCATTATAAGCGATATTTAGCGGACATTGAATTATTCTGTCTGAATGCGTATAGCTCTCTAATTTGTCTTTCATTTGTTTGCTCTTAAACGCCTATTTAATCAGTCTGAGGCGGCAGCCACACAGGATTTCAATGCAGGCGCTTTGAATAAAGGTCCTGGATTGGGACTCTCGCTCATTTATTTTAATGACCTGTTATTAAAGCAGTGTAAGTGTGTGTGTATAGTGCCTAAACGCGCTTATTTGCTCATGATGGATATTTAAATACTGGTAGCTATGCCATATGGAGGAGATTTGCATTTGTTTTTCTAGTACTTTCAAAGCTGCAGAGTTTGGACAGGAGTTCGGGATGTATTTTTCACGCGAGTATTTGGACTGTACTCTCTCTCTCTCTAGTAATCGTTATAATGGCTATAAAATATAATACAGTAGAGCATCTAATAATATTGGATATTAAAAGACACTTTTATGGCGCATCGTCCTGCACTGTAATGTGATTTCAACCGAGAGACGCAATTTAGTACGTATTTTATTATGGTTGTGAATAAGAAGTTTGTGTTTGAATTATAACTTGCTTTTAACAATAGTTTTTCTATGCATAAATGCCATTGTTTAGATTAATAATAAGGGTTTCTATTATTATTATTATTATTATTATTATTATTATTTCCTATATTAAGTTTTCATAATTCATCTGTGTATGCATAGGAAAGAAATGCATAGGGAATTGCAGTTTGGGTTGCATCTTATTTATGAAAGCCAAAGGCACTCCTCTGTAAAATCTTCAGGGAAATCATCTTGATTTCTGAAGGTGCAGTAAGTCCACAGTGAGCGAGAGAGAGAGAGAGAGAGTGCATGTTTGTGCGAGTGAGTGTGTGTGTTAGCATGGTGGGAACCCTTCTATATTTTATCATATTTCCTTATTTTTCATCTTTTTTTCCCTGCCCTGTTGGTGACAGCCAGGAAACAGTGGGGGTTTTGTAGAATCGCCAGCATGAGTCTATAGCCATGCCAAAACAGTGGGACCAGTATGTAACAAACACGCTTTAAATCGCCTGAAAGAAGTACAGCGAGGCCTGCATCATGCAAACACACACACATATGCAGCCCTTTAAACACAGGCCCAGCGTCTGCAAAACCATTTTAATTACAAGAGTAATTATACCCCTACACTTGTTTTCATTTACATAAGCAGCTTTGAGCGATGCATTAGTAATTTTAGTACATGCAAATATAATATATACTGTATCAACAAAGTTTCAAAGGTATAGTTCACTCAAATATGGAAATGGAGTTATTATTTCACCCTGGTGTTGTTTTGTGGGGTCGACACGGTTGTCAGATAACATTTAGCATTACAGCTGATAGCAGCTTGCTGTTGCAATGAAAACAACAAGTGTATTTACATCAAAAGAAGAAAGTACATTACATGTCCAATCATATTTTTTTACAATGTTGCTGTGCTTTTTCTAGGTGAGTAGGAGTGAAATAATTAGGCCTTATGAACACACAGCACGAAGACAAGCAGTCATGATCAGGATTTTCATTTAAGCCCCAGAGTATCTAGCCTCAGAATACTTAATATTAGGCCTGCACAATGTATAAAAATGAACAACCATGATATACATATCACAAGGGTTTGCAATAAATGAGTGGTGTAATAATACAGAGGTATCTATGTGTCCCTGCCACTCTCAGATAGACTTTACAGCACATCAGGCAATGTAGAGTGGACATGCTGATTTTTCTGTGTAAAAAATGTGTAACGATTTTAGTATGATTGCTGAAATTCGACCAAGCAATCAAGCCATGTTCAGAAAGCAAAGACAGAAGCGAAGTAATTCCACTGTTTCAAGTGTTTTGTTTTCCTGATTGGTCTTGATGTTTCAGGTTGATATAACTATAGTAGAACAAAGTGGTGGGAATATTTATTTTTGTTCCTTTGGAAAATGTCCCATTCTTTTTATGCAACAGTAAAACATGGCTGTTTTAGAAGTTTCTTTTCCCTAAAAATAATATGAAACATATTGGTTAAAATAATCTAAAAAAATTATTATATAACATATACAATATTATACTATTTAGCATGCTATTTCTGCTAACAAATATATGTGCTAGAACCTTGGCCGGTTTAGGCCTGTAGTTGAAAATAAATTAAACTAAAACTACCAGTAGGTGGCAGCAAGTCCCTGTCTTAATGATTAAGTCATTGATTTTTCACTCAAAATTGATTCTATTCATTCAAAAATTAAAGTTTTTGCAGGAGTGCTTCGCCTAATCATTTTCTAAAATAATTTATATATATATATATATATATATATATATATATATATATATATATATATATAAAAGTTTCGGTATAAAGGCTCTATTTTTTACAGTGAGGCTAGACTTTCCAAGATATACGCAAATGTAAGTGACACATGTGAGCGATGCCATTGTGCTAAAGCAGTTTTAGCTCTTATGTTTTGGGCATGCCCTAGACTGTTCGCTTATTGGACAACTATTTTTAAAATGTCCAAAGCATATAACAAAGACATTAGACCTAGCTTTGAAATGGCTATTTTTGGAGTACTCGAACAAGAAACAGTCATATCCAATAATTATTAGGGTGCTTATGCCTTTGCGTGTCTTATGGCTCGGAGAAGAATATTGCTTGATTGGAAATCAAGTAAACCGCCTTTAGTGTCACTCTGGTTTAGTGATATGATGCTGTTTTTAAGATTGGAAAATTAAATACTCTCTTAGAAGATTTACTAAACGTTATTATACAGTATCGAATCTAATGATCTCATTCTTTGAAAAAGGCCTAACACTTCCCCAAACTAAAATTAATAGGGAAATTAAAAGGTATTATAAGGATAATGCAATCGAACTCAATGGGCAAACATTACTGTTAAATACTTCCTCAATACTATCAAAACTCTGTGACTATGTAAATATTTAATTTAATTTAGTATTGATTTATTTTATTTTTTTGTTATTATTTCTTTTTTAGAAATTTTCTTTTTATCATTGTTTTATTTATTTATTTATTTATTTCTCTTTGAAGGGGAGGGAGGTTGTTCATGAGAAAAAAATGTAACAAAAAAAGAAAAAGTCTTGTCAAATCTTTGTATGTAATAATTCATCTTGTTTTTCTTTCAATAAAAGCAATTATAAAAATAAATAAAAAACAAAGGCTCTATTTATATTATAATGTAATGTATTATGTATTATAATATAATGCATGCGTCTTGGAAGCAATGCCAATAAGCTAAGGTGTAAGTACGTCATTTCCAACGCAGGCATGCAACTTGCGTGTGCAAATAGGGAGCAATGTGAGCAAGCCGCACATGCACATTTTACATTTACACCTAGTTAAAAAAAATGAATTTATCCAATTGCAGCTAGCACAGCGTTATTTATGCAAGTAGAATTAACCAATCTGCTTCACACTATGTATGGAATATACACATTTTAGTAATAACAACAAACTAATTACCTCAGACAAACACAGCGCACCCAAACACTGCAGCGCTTTTTACTTTTCTTATTTACATCAGAGGTGCAGCAATGGTTTGTCCGTTTGTCATTCTCTGAGAAAACGGTTGATGGCTGCCTAATACCAGAAAGATGACAGGGGAGCATGAGTGCAAAGCGCATTGAAAATGGTGAAGGAAACCATGCGCTCGCTCTTTTCAGGTGTGAATTTTGGGTTGCGTAATTGTCACTTCAGGTCAAAATAACAACACACGCGAAAATGAGTGTCGTGGCTAGTAGCAGTGAAGAGATCATAAATAACGATGTAAGGATGTCAAAGTGGCTTTTTGGTTTCTTTTGCATCCCAGCTACTAGCACCCATCTGAAAGATTTTTAGCATAGGGGTGATGTAGTCATTGAACTTCACAATTAGTAATGTTGCAGTATGTATTTGAATAATGATGGTTGGTTTCTTTACTTGAAAGCTCAGATTTGGTTATCATAATTTGTTTGTTGATAGAGTTTGAGGTTTACCGTATTATTATAATTTACACCTTAAAGTTTGCTTTGATCGTTCAGCATCTACGCTTTACCATTGGACACACTTTGTAACATTTTATTCATCAAATTTAAGAGTCTCTTTAACACTTCTGTTTATTTTTTTATAAAGAGATCAGATGTTTTGTTTAAATAATTTTGTTTTTGACTATTAAAACTATTTGCCCTAGTAATGTTGGTAAAAAATAAATAAAGTGGTTAAATAAAACAAAAAATCCTAATACTCCTAATTGTATTGTTTAAAAATATTCAATAATTATCGAAACCGAATGATATAAAACATGATCTCGTGATATCACTCAGCCCTAAATCAAATATCACATTATTTAGCATGATGTTACATATCACTTTTTCAATATTAAACAGTCCTAGTTGTGTTGTCTCAGCCCACTCTTTCATACCTTAAACACCTTTTGCTGGTCACTATTCACTATAACAAGCATGAACAAAACACTTGATATAAATTTAAATTTCCCCTTTTGTAGTCAGAAAGCACTGGAACAACACTAGGGTGAGCAAACAATGACTCTGTTTGTTTTCGGTTCTCGGAGAGCTATCCATTTAAAAAAAAACACTGTCAAATTCAGTTCACTGAAGCAGCAGTCCATCTTGTGGTCAGAAAAACACTACACGAACTACTACATCAACAGTGAGACATCTGGGATTAGCAGAGCACTTCAGACCCACCTCACACACAGTAGATTACACAGACTTAGAGTACATCAACTCTGGCACAGATTAACATGCTGGTCAAATGCTGATGAGTGATGAGAAAGAGAGAGCAAGAGGCTGAGCTCACTAAGAGAAAATTCACAAGAGATTAAATCTGGGTATGGTTAAACTTTTTTTT